CCTGTACTGATTGCCTATTTCTTTCATATATCATTTCTATAGTTTCCTATTGCACATTGACTCATTGACTTTAATGTGTGGAATGTCACATGACCTGCAACTTTGGTTGGACTTTGAGAGGGTTCTGGTTATTCCGCAATGAGCAAGAATCCTGTTGGGGTATTTTTTCAGTTTGGTAGCCTCATGTTGGGATCCTCTCTTGCTGTTCTTTCACATTCATATAAATTTTTCGCCGTGGGCTTTGCAGTTTCGTTAGCTAAAATAAAGTCTAGAAATGTGATTTTGCATATGAATTTCCACATCCTGCTGAATGAAAACATATAAACTTCAAATGAGGGCTGTGAATCACCCTTGCTGCTGACACCTTCAGTGATCAGTCTTTTGAGGTGAATCATCATTATTGCTTTGCCATGGCAGATTCAAAAGAATGCCATTGGTATGACATGACAAAATAAAGTAGAAGATTGCCATGACCGACTAACAAACATACAGTTTGGGCATATTTATTTCCATGTGCAGTTTAGTACCTCATGGATGAGCGATGTGTTTAATGTTTGCTTGTTGTTCTGAGTTATACAAACGTGGGATGCATGTAGTTACTGCTTGGTCCCTGATCTATAGATGAGCTATAGTGTGTAGATCAGTAGAGATTGTAATCTCTTCACTGCACTATACAAAGGACTATTGGCCCTAGGGAGGCCTCCTTTGCAGGCTGCCTGTAGTTGTTCTGCTTCGTCATTTGTCTATAGTTAAGCTCCTAACTTTATGTTACCAGCGTTAGTGTGGGTCATTAGTGACAGGGATCAACTACTGTACTAGTCTGCATGTAGTACACACCGTGTTTAGAGCTATAATTTTTCAGTGTCACTGTGTGTTTGTAGGGTTTTCAATCTACCTCAGTCCTAAACTAAAAGATTTAGGATATATCTTAATTCTTTAATTTAAAGGCTTGTCTAAATGAGTCATCCCTGACATTGGATAATATAAGGAGTTATATAAAACTGACTTCTCTGTTGCATATTCACATTGATGAATGGTCGAAACACAGTATTGACGAAAATTATTGGCAAAATTATCTTTACTAAATGATCAGCAACACAAACAGTAGTATTTGCCTTTGACATATTCCTGCCATAGTCCTCGGTTTTTATCGGTGTTTGCTTCACGTATGTTCCTGTTTCTACAGCTGAACCTTTTTGATAAAAAGTGTCTTGCTAGATATACATGCACAATCTTACTACTCTTGAAACTTTGTAACATTTTGTTATTTTATTAATTATACTCTCTTTCAGTTTTAGCCTAACTTCTATATTGCGGACTTGACCATAAATTGCTAGCTCATCTTCATGGAAACAAACGTTTAGTTATTTTCTTATGTAAGTCTATAGAGTTCAATCAGCTTCTTTCATTACTAACCCCTTTTCTTCTGTGTGTCTGTTCGTTTTTTACTAAGTGCAGGTCACAGATTGGTGGTAAGAGTTTGTCTACTTGCAGTGTCGTTCCCCTCTCATGATCATGTCAAACTTCTATGCACTGGTATGTAACCTCTTGCAAAAATACGATCAAGGAAAAATGTAAGAGCATGCTATTTGCCAGTTGTTGTTTTCCTTTCTTCCTTGTCACAAAGACGGTGTGGTGTGTAGGTGCGTCTTTACAAAACTAAATTCTACTTGCGAACACAACAGCTAGTTGACTAGCATTTTCTTACATCAATCTGTTGGCCGATGTTGATATAGATGCTATGTTTATGTGCAGGTCACAGA